TCTGTTAATCATTCCTTAATAGTCCAAATTTTTACTCACCTCAAATCCCTCATACAGTCAAACGAAACGGTTTTTCCAGAAAACACAAAAGTAATTCACTGATAGTGGCATATTTGCTGCTACAACTATATGCCAGTCGAATTATACCTTCTGGCAGTTATCAGCTGATAATTTCAGTTCATTCGAAAATTGCAAAATTAAATGAGAAGTACATAAAAATCTTTTAAAAAACATCCAAGTGAATTTACAACGAGCAACAGAAAAACAAAAAACGATAATCTGGAAAATGCGAACAGATAGATGGTCACTTTATCAGTCATTTCCAACAGCACAATTAATTATAATAACATGACTAGCACAGCTGATAGCCATCTGATAACCCATTAACAGTTATCACTGAGACAATTACATATCCACGATGACAAGTTTTAAAATTAATGCGTGTCCCAGCGAAATGTTGCAAATGAATTTTTTTTTTTTAAATTTCAACAGCAAAGAAGAGTTTTTTTCTTTAGAGGTGAAGAAGAAATGACAAAAATTTATTGTTGAAAATAATAATTAAAAAGAAAGAAAGAAGCTAAGGTAGAGAAGTTCAGTTTGAAGTTGAGGGAACTAAAAAGTGATACGATGAAGGGAAAGGTGAAGAAGGGAGATGCTATAAAGAGACGAATTAGTGGCACTAGAATATTAGGCTCATTTTCTTTTAGGGTTTAATCAAGTTTATTTACTTATCACAGCTATAAATTTAATTGATTTTTTCCCTTCCCTTTACTTTAACAAGAAGCTTACTTAAATTATATGCAAATACAAACTTCAAGCAATCATTTATCTTTGTTTATTATTCACAAATTCGAAATGACAGTGGGAACCGTCGAACCGTCTAATGATGCTCCTTCAATTTTATCGTCTCTCTGCTACATTTATGTGATCGTCGTTCTCGTGAAGTGGAGTCACCTTTCTGTTCAAAATTGAAATTATCTCAGATCACACAGCAATCAGTAATGTTGTCTCAGCAATGAAAAAAGAATAAATTAATACTTTTATCTGAAGAAAACGTGTGATTCTTTTTCTAGAAATAAAGAATAGGTAAGTAGTAAGAGTAAGATGATGTATTGCTCATTTGCAATTCCATAGTATCAATCAATGATGCTATGACAACGATGACAAAATTTATTATAGCATAAAAATTTGACTGGAATAATAAGAATATTGATCAAAATAGAATAAGTTGAAATTAACATTTAAAATATGGTTTTTGTTTTCGAGAATTTAAAAATGTCCTGAAATACTGAAAATATCTTTTTGCTATTCGTGTTACATCTATATAAAATCATCGCTAATCTTTTTTCTTCAGTCGGAATTTTCATTTGTTATAATTGAAATGCATTAGCTTAGAAATTTCAGTTTTGACAAACAAAAACCATTGAATCCAAGAGATAAACAAGGATAATTATAATAACTTTATATAAATGTTAAACAAAGCAAAGTAGCAAAAAAGTTTTTCATCCTCTTTAAATTTATATAAAAAACAAATCATTCAATAAAATTCAATTCAAAATTAATAATAGTTGAACAATGAATAATAGCTGAACAATAACAATAAGGAAGAAAAGTTGAAATAAATGACTTAATTAAAAAATAAAGTTAAAGGTTTCAATAGTTAGCCATTTGTATGACATCTGACAAAAGAATTAGTGTCATCACGGAGAAATAATAAGTTGAAAGTGAGATAATTTGAGAGATTATTCTTTCCCAGAGAATGGCATTAGCATTTCTGCTACTAATTACTGATTGTTTGCTAATTATACCCACACATGTGTCATCTCTTGAAAAGAAAAGTCACAAGGATTGAAAATAATTCATTAATAAAGTAAACATTTCAACTGCCATCTTTTCATTTGCTCAAATGGAAACAATTTACATTCACTTTAAACTATGATATTTTTCCAATTTTTAATTTCAGAATAAGCAGTTAGAAATGATTAGCTGAACATATCCCATTTTATGCTTCATAATAAAATATTTTTGAAAAATTGAAAGTTTTAATCGATTTCAAGGATGTCAGTTAATTTTTCTAGCATTTCATATACTTCCACGGATGAAAAAATTAACTTAAGCTTTCTTGCATGTTTTTCTCTAGAAATTTCTTCCTTTTATTCACGTTTACACAGTATAAATCAAATCAAAATTACCTTATTAAATGGTATAAATTTCCATCCATCTGCTTAATATACTATCAAAGTAATAAAAAAAGAATGTAATATAGTAATCAACCAAACATTTCAGAATGATTAATATTTTGAAAGAAATTAGCATACATCTGAAACGCTGGGTTAAACTTGTACAGAAATGCAGTAACAATAAGTAAAGACAGTGTAGTGTGGGAGAAATTTTTAAAAAAGAAATCATCGAGACTAGAGATACGGGAAGAAATCATCGAGACTAGAGATAGGGGAAGAAATCATCGAGACTAGAGATAGGGGAAGAAGTCATCGAGACTAGAGATAGGGGAAGAAAACATCGAGACTAGAGATAGGGAAAGACTGATTGGAAGGAGAAGCAAAATATGCCAAAGAAGTAATATTGGCTAATTGCAGTCAGATTTATGCTCAATACAATCTGATCGCGAATAATTAGCAATGTTTATTAAAATTTGAAATTTGAAATGGTTTATTTAGGGGGAAAGAATCACTGGAAAAGAGCAGGAATTGTAATTAGAATGTTGAAAATACTGAATGATAGAAAAACACACATTTGTTTCAAATTTTATTTTAATAAGTTACTGCTGAATCTGTAAATCTAAATTGAACTTTTTTTAAAAGTATTCTTAACAGTGATAATATCGATATAATATTTCGATTTAATTGTCACATTACGCGCACATTAGAGAGATAAACAAAGTCAGCCAAATAATTTTTTAGTTTTACTCAGATTTTTCACATGCATAACAGATGGAAAATAAATTGATTGATTAAAAGAAATTTAGCGAGAACTTGTGAAAATTTGAAATTGAAAAAATTATTTGGTAAAAAGCAAACTTATTTCTTTAATCAATTTTGATGCAGTGATAAAGAATAGTTCGCAATAGATGTAAATAAGTGCTAATAAATTAAAAATACATCTGCAAAGCATTGATGTTTTCAATTCAAATCTGGCAGGAAATACTGTAGAAGAGCTAATCATGCACATTTCGGATTGTTTATGAATTTAGAATTTAGATTTCTCAGTGCAAATTGCCACTTAGGAAATAATGTGAACCGATTAAGACAATATAGTTCAAACTGTTGTGGATTAGATGAAATAAGCTTAACGATTGGTGCGAGAAATAATCTTAAACAACAAATTTGTGCTCTTGCCGACAAGTGGAATTTCATTATCAATAAGAGAAGAGAATATGAGCTGTGTTGAATATGAGATTGTCTTGACGAGTAGCTTAAGATATTTCAAATTTAAGTCTTTAATGGCATTTTTTATATTAAAAAATTTGAGGCAGTAGATGGCTATACATGTTATCATCAATTTAGGATGTAAAATTAGTAAAACTGCTAATAATGCGTAATTTATGTTCTGACCGAATTTCACTGTTTTTTAAAATTGAAATTTGAAAGAGCAATTAATGGTTTAATGAATGGATTGTATTGGAAGTGCTATAATGTGAAACAGTGCTAGGATATTCCATTTCACAGTGCAAAATGTTGCATTTACATTAGTTTGTGAGAGATTTGCCTGGAAAAAAGCTCCCTTGCAATTTTGGTTCAGTGCAACCCAAATAGGAGTGATCTGATCTAATTTGAGAAATGACGGAGAGTGGAATGAGACATGCGAAAGGGAAATTAGTGACGTAGAATTTGTGAGTGAATAAAAAGCGAAAAGAAGACTTCCCACAATGACCTTTTTTTTTGCCTTCTTAGAAAAACTTCCCAGAAAAGTTTGTCATCTAAAAAACGCTGTTATTTCACTTAAATTCAAAATCATAAAAAGCAAATGCCATTTATGCATTCAGTTTATGTTTAAGATCCTTGACAAGGAGAAGAAAACTGCAAATTTCTTTTTTACAAATTTACACTCTTTAAATTTACAATTTTTACATTTTATAGATGTAACCAACTTTACAAGTTTATAGCTCTTTCCTTCTATTCCTATATTAGTATGCTCTGATTTGCCGGAAGTAGACAGTAGTTAGAAATTAAATTCCTGATTAGAAATTCCTGATTACAAATGCACTTTGCAATTTTTTCTTAGTCTACTGCGAAGACCGAAAGTGTCACACACGTCTCACCTGACTTGGAAGCAAAACTGAAAACACGTCAAGTGTTGAAGAACCATTACCTCTCCCTATCTTCTATTCACTAGCACTCTCATAACAGGTTATTCTCCGTCTAGGCGACACGCACTCCGTCTAGGCGACACGCACTCCGTCATTCTAACCACGCTCACTTTTCTTTATCAACTTTCACACCTTAGTCCGTGTCTCCTCTGCACTCTGTGTGACTCTGAAGTTGGTCACCTAATTTCTCGACGACAAATGTCTCTTCACTGTCTCACATTCAACATCCACCGATCACGGATTCACGCACAGAGCTCTACACTTAACTTTCAATTTGAAATTTAAGGCCGAGCCGTAAAAGACCGGGCCGCACTTAACGTGATTTGTTTGGAATGAATTTGGCGCTAAGAGCGATTGGGTGCTACACGTGGAGTTTACGTATTATTGTTGGTTATGATTTAATAGCTTCAGGTTTAATACGTTGTTATTTATTGTCAAAATGGTATTTGGTTTGCATTTTCGTTTCAAAATTTCTTTGTTTAATTTCTATTTCAATAAAAAAAAACACCCGAAATTAGAAATGGAAGAGATTTGTTGTTATTGCAGTTATACCTCCAAGCAGTAGTTGCTTGAATATTCGAAATATTTTAAAGATATTTTGGTTCGTTGCTTAACACTTGCCAATTTGCTGACATCACTTAAGATAGTATCAGTTTCTTTTTTATTTCAGCAAATGGACAATAATCAAACAGCTGAGAAACCGAAAAACACAAATCTTGTCTGCAATGAGAATATCGCCCATCGGAAATCGCCTGAACTTTTTCCGGAGAATGTGCCCGGTGCTTGGGATATGAATAGAACGTTAACTGTAAGATTTGTGGTTGTGTTTTATCAGTTAGAAAGTTGGCATTTCTGGATAGTTCAAAAATATTTATCTAGTTGATGTTGACATGAAGTGCTCGGTGCCCCTAAGAATGGATTTTGTTAGTGACTTAAATGTTTCATGTTATCTAGTTAAGTAACTCTTCTCATCTTCATTTTTTTTACAAACTTTCATTCTTGCAAACAATCATCATTTACAAATTTTCATTCACTATGTACCTACCTTAATACAATAGTTGGAGAAGAATGTTGATTGTAATTAATGTCTTTCATGTAATCTCTAGTACTTTTACCATCATATTTGCAATTTATTTCTAGGTTATTATAAATTGGTTATTAACTTTATTTAAATTGATTGCGTCTTATGCACTCATTTGCCACTTATAAGCATACAATATATTGGAGTGCTTTTGGATACTCTTTTTAGGTAGCTGCTGGTGATTTTAAGTCAAGTCGTTTTCGGACTGAATTAGATACACAAGATGTACGCCTTGTTAACGGTAATCATACCACAAAAATATTTATTCAAAATTACATTGGAAACTTAAACATTAAAAATTTGGTTTTTTCGAGGATCCATTTGCAAATTTTAAAATTTACGCGCAATTTAAAATTTTGCTTTTGTTTTCAAATTGTTCTTTTAGAGCTTGGACAGTTTAGTGCCGATCAGTTAATGGAATATATAAGAAATTTGCAGAATTCAGCCTATACATTAGGGATTGAAGAAGGTTTTTTTTTTTTCTGATTTCATTAATTAATTTAATACCCAAGTTTTGTGTTACATAACCGTCCTTCTGATGTAGTTCTGTTTGAGGGTAAGAATTTCTTGCTTGGATAACTTTGAAAAGTTTGAAATTTTCATAAATAAAAATTTTAGCTAAACAATTTTCAAAGGGAAAGTTTCTGCGAATATTCGAGAAGCGATCAGAGGGATCGAGATGACGGATGACAAAATAAATGATGAATACTGGCTTTCTGCTGTTATTTGATCATGAGATACACATATTTATTACTACTTAGTATCCCAAACTATTGATTCATTTTAAATATCGAAGTATTTCCAAAGACGGTTTAGTTCAAAAGAGAATGACTGCTTATAAAACAATCGTAATTTTAAGGAAAAAGTTAGTCAGCTGCGAGCTATGTGATGTCACACCTTTAATGTATTGAGAGAGTAAGGTAAAGTTAAATTATCAAAGTTTTTAATTCCAGTTTTGTATTAGAAGAATTTTTATTTTCAAATAGTTTCTTTTAAATAAAAGGAGCACCTTTTATAAAATTATGCGGTAATGCTGACACTTATTACGCATTCATAAATCTGAGTATTTATTTTTACTGTACATTGATGTGTTTAGAATGTGTATTTAGTATTATTCGAACTAACATTACTGTTGATTTCAAGCATTTTTTTTTAACGTCTACAAATATTCTCGCAACAGAGTCCAGTAATGTAGAAGATTAAATTTCTGCAACTTTGATCTATTTTGAAAGGAAGTTATAGACAAAATATAAGTTGAAGGCTGATATTAACTTTAATCCAGGTATTTGACTTTTCTTCTCGCAATTATTTTCTAATGAAAAATAAAAAATGATGAGAAGCGGATGCTTTTTTGGTTGATTTTAACTGCAGAAAGTGATTATTTGAAAACCGGTCAACGAAAAAAGGCGGCTTGGTGGAGTGAATTGTTTTCTTTAACGAAAAGAAGGATGCTTCTCATTCGCTTCTTGATATTATTAATGTTTCCTACACAAATTTTAGAAATTTACCCAATGCATTTTGGTGCAATATATAAAAAATTTACATATAAAATATAGCGGTGAAATACTTTTTTCGTTGTATGCAGTGTACCACTATATCAGGGTCTGCAGGATGCACACCATATGTATTCGTGGCCGAGATTTTGCTTTTTGGATTATTAGAAATTCATTCGAAGCAATTTGTCATGTGAAAGCTTTCATATTCCTTATTATTTTCTTTTTTTTTTTTTCCGTTTTTCTGATTTTTTAATAATTCTTGCATTTTCTAAATTGTCGTTGAGGTTTTTCTTTTTAACTTTTGACTTTTTCCTTTAAAGAATTTATTACTACAATATTGCAAACGATAAGCAATTTAGAAGAGGTTCATATCACTTGGTTTATTCTCGCCGAGCTTAAAAATGGACCATTTTCATTTGGTAAAAAAGGAACGATGATTCAGAAATCATAATGGATGAAATAACTTTTTACTATTTAAACATCTTGCGGTGAGGGAAATACTGTCAAGTCATTTAAAAATGTTTCACTATTTGATTTGATTCAAATTGTCGAGGTATCATTCAGGAGGCAGAATGTGTCATCACTGTGTCACATCATAAAGTTACTAACTATTGGTACTTGCGGAAGATATCCATTTCATGACGCAGGTGGGCGAATTGAAGTGATTAGCAAATCATTATGATTTTAGCAAATGATCAATTTAAATCGATCTTGAATAGTGATAAGTTATTTCTAATTTGATATGATTAATATTCATGTAGCTAACATGTGATGAATTACTTCAGTGCCAGTGATCGTTCGTGTCGTCGTGTAGTGGATTTAAAGTGGACATCTAACTTACATATGTATAGCGAATGAAATATGAATGGAAAATTGAATCCAGTGCTAAATTTTTTCATTCATCATATACAAATAGATCAGTTATAATATACTTATTTTTCATTTGCAATAAATTAACAGTCGAGAGGCTTCGTTTAATCATGAAATAATGTTTTACGGAAATTTGCATCACAAAATTCATCTTTAAAGAGAGGCTCAAATAAACAATGCCCAAATAATACCTTCTTGAAAAGAAGTATTTCTCAAGTTTGACAAAATCACGCAGATATTGAATGCGTACTAAACATCGGTAGCCATTAAAATTCCATGTAATAACAGAGTTATTAATTTTACGGGCTGTTATGTTTAAAAAAAATCGAAGATTGAGAAGACTGGAGCATATATAAAGTCAGAAATATTTTCTAAAATATCAAAAACAAATTTTCGATTTTTTTTAAAGTTACAACTTCTACATACGAAATTTGAAAAAGGAAAGAAGGAGGAAGGTATCAGGGAGGATTGGTGACTGGCAAGAAATGAGACTGTAAGCCGCTCAAATGTGAGGCTAATAAGGGAATTTGACATTGACAATCGTCCGTGTGGTCATTTAATGCTGTCAAGCCGTGCTCACACTGATAGCACGCTTGAAGCTCTTTGTGATCTTTGCCGCTCAAATTGCAACCAAACTCTCGTAAACATCGCTCACAACCAAGTATCTTCCTGAAAACGAAAGGAAAACTTATCCAAAAAAAAGAAGCTTTAAGGAATTTCAGATTTAATTTTTAAATATAAAACAAATTTTAAGCATTTTTCGTTTAACTGCTGTAGAACTACAATTTTTAAGAAAAGTGAAAAGTGAGCCACTTTCGTAAATATACCTGCAAGGACTGGCTTGTATGCGAACTTTCCCTTGCTCACGTTGACGTCCACACGTCGGACATTTAGCGACATCCACATAGAAATGATCCATGCTATGAATTGTTTGGAAGACAGTTACCGCCTACAACACAAGAAATTAACTGCTTGGCAGCTTATTTAGTACAATTTGCTGGTAGCAACCTGGTCGTAAAGTGTCCTCAACTTAGCGGCCAGTAAATCAGCTAGCAATCGCTCAGAAATTAAATTTCGGTGCTCCTCGAGACACTGTACCGAAGCTGCAGCAACGCATGGAAGACAAGCGTCATGCGTGATCCGATCGAATTTATGCTTCAGCACCCAGTTCAACCAGCACAATGCCACCATTGGTGTTCGTTTACTTACCTGAAATTCTTGAATGAAAGTGGTGCGATGCCTTCCTTTCTTTGCATAGCACTCTCAACTGTAGTTTGAGACGAAAAATTGAGTTAAACTTGACTCAGTGTCGAAGTGCTGAATTGAAATTGAAGAATGCTTCCACTAGGTCCAGTGAATGCTAGCTGTCCTCTGTCAGTTCACATTTGGCTTTAATTACATTTAGCTAAGAACCACCAACTAATGAATGTGCTCACATTATCCTGAATATATGAATATGCTCACATTATCCTGAATATATGAATATGCTCACATTATCCTGAATATATGAATATGCTCACATTATCCTGAATATATTTGGCACATTTCATTTCCAAATATTTAGCACGAAATCGCTTTGACAACCTCATACATGTTTCCAACGTGTCATCTGTAACGATTTATTCGAAAATAGACAGATGAAATGCAGTTGTATTTTTGAAAGTTCCATACAGAACCTACAAAAAGTGTTTTATTGTGAAAATGCTAAGCTAAAATATTTTAACTTGTTGAAACACTTCTGAATAGCATTTTGTTCTTAAAGTTTAATTCTTAATGACATGCCGCACAATCTGAGTGCATTTCTCACTTTTGCATATTTATCTCAAAATGCAAAATGCAATCTTAGCCATATTTGTGTGTGGTGCACCTGTGATATCGGTGAAAGCAGCAGTCTGAATTGCACTTTCCAGAAACCATTTAAATTGCACAGCCGGTGGAGGATGCTTAAACGAGGAAACAACGACTGCAAATTCATCGCACGAACTGCTGCATGCACCACCTGCTCCTGCTGCTGACACGGCTGCAGGCTTATTCGCCGAGAACAGCGCTCGGAAATAGTCGCTCACGTGTGAAAGTTGGTGTTTGCAAACCAGAAATTTTGTATCCTGCAATTACAATTTTGAACACTTTGATTTGAAAGGAAGAAAAAAGTTTACAAATATCCTTTTTAGGAGTACAAAAAAATTCAAATAACTTTAATTTAAGCAACTTTTCTTGATAACAAATTAAATTAAATTTATTATAAATTAATCGAAAAAAGTTCCAAGAAAAATGTTAAAAACGATAATTGATAACAAATGATTTAAAAAAAGTACTTGAACAATAATTGTAGCCGAACAACCACCTAATTGACAACGTGACGTTAAATAATTCAACGTTTCTGAGATTTGTGGAAACCTTTTGATTGGTGATCTGCAAAAGTTTGCTATATTTCAACTCACCATAAATTAAATTTTACAATTAATTTGCGAATAGTTGAAAAATATTCACTTATCTGATAGAAAATTACAATTAAAAACAATGAATTAGGCATAATATCATAGTGATTTATTCTGTCTGAGCATTGTTTATCTTAATGACATTTGCTCGTCTTCAGATGACAAAAAATGTCATCTGAACATTTTAGCCATGTATTTGTTTAGAATGCAACAAAACAAAAGGAAATCAATTTTACTTTGAACGACTTTTCTTCGAAACATCATCAGGTGATGTTCGCGGTGTTTTCTGTGGACTGCTAGATCGAGGTCGACTGGTACCTTTTTTGTTGAAATTAAATTCTTTTCGTTTATTGCTAATTAATGATGCGCTAGAACGGTGCTCCCAATTGTCTGTCGGATTGGATAATGAATCAAACGTTTCATTATGCTTATTTATCATATCATCCTTTAAAGAGAAAAATTTTGTAAATTATCAGAAAGTAATAATTCATTATCAGTTTTGACTGTTAACTATTACATACATAGTGGATAATTCATTATCAGTTTTGACTGTTAACTATTACATACATAGTGGATAATTCATTATCAGTTTTGACTGTTAACTATTACATACATAGTGGATAATTCATTTTTTGATTATTGTCAAATTTTTCACCTTTCTATTTCACTTGTAAATTAAAATTTTTACTATTTCTTCGTTTGCTTTTCATTTTTTAAAGCAAATTCAGTCGCATCACACTTGCCAACTTATTAAATTTATCTGATTTACTTGCATTTGATTATTGATTAAATTCAGTTATAAAAGGTTATATCTCCAAAATTTCTGAAAACTATGAAAATTTTTAGGATGTGAAATTTGCAAAACTTACATGAATTGGATTTAATTGTTCTGAAGTAATTAGTTCTTTGTATGGATGAACAATATCTGATTGATGAGATGGACGTATATCCCAGCGATGAGTTTCCTGTCATCATTCCATTTCATATTATATTAAAATAATAGGAACAACTACTCTCTAACCACGGATAATTAACTTTAAGAGATCAAAAATATGTACAATTTACTTCTATTAAAGTGCCTTTTCTTCTATTAAATTTTAAACCACAAAAAGTCAGTCAATCGTTAGTATCATTCTTCTTAAATTATAAATTGAACTGGCATTTAATTTTGCAAAAATCTCCAATGCTATCCAACAAGATGTGAATTTTGCAAGACTCTAAGTGAGCCAAATAAATCAGTGTTTTTCGCCAGTTAAAGTCCCGGGAATATTACCTGCTCTACTTTCACATTTCATCAATTACCTGCCATTTTTGAGGTCATCCCGAAGTGTTACGGATTGGAGAACGCTAAACATAGAAATCAGATGGTTTTAAACGTGGAAATGGGGGGAACTTTCATGTTATAAATGAATGCAACAAAAGAATATTATTGCCGGACTAAAAATTCGATCAGTGAGCGACAATTTCTGCTAAGGGTATTTCTTTGTGAAGAGTTCATTTTTCATTTAAAGGAAAGTTATTTTCAATTCATTTATTGAAGCCATGCATTTAATGCTTTTGATTCTAGCAAAATAAAACACTTGCATGGAAATCCTGCAATGGTGGGTCGTATTCCGGATGTACGAAATAATCATAGGTTCCGGTCGGTGATCCATAATAAGAAGGTTGCTGTTGGGGTTGTTTCATTCGCCGCCACAGCTCGTAATCATTTCTCTGATATTTTACCGGTGATTTTGATCGAGACCTAGCTCGATCAACTATTTTCTTGATGAAATTTGCCATTTTCCTGATGTGTCATTAATTCGTCAACACTAAAATTAAATAGCGTTTAAGAAGTTTGAACAATTGTAAGAATTTTGCCGCTACTGAAATGCTCAGCAAGAATGTTGACTGTTTCACACTTCCATCATTTGTTCGGAAATGTACCTTTCATCACTTTTCCGGAAGTACTGATAGAATAACAAATATTATCATAGCAGTGAAAAAAGCAAAAAGATAAGAAAAACTCTGTGAATGTCTCTATGACCAGAAGTAAGTTAACAAAACTGATTGATTACCTGATGAGAACGTTGCATCATTTATGCAGTAAATGGAGACAGATTTTGAATATTTACTTCAAAATTAATTAAATCGGTAAAATAAGCACAGCTTTTTTTGAAAAAAATATTGCGAATCTTTTCTCGATAAAGTTGAACAATCTATAATATATTCAGATTTATAGATTGCATTGATTAGGTGTTATTTAGTTCCGGAAGAAATAATTTGGATACACGCTGATCAGGCACAGAAATATAGAAACTGACAAAAACGGACATCTATCTATCTATCTATCTATCTATCTATCTATCTATCTATCTATCTATCTATCTATCTATCTATCTATCTATCTATCTATCTATCTATCTATCTATCTATCTATCTATCTATCTATCTATCTATCTATCTATCTATCTATCTATCTATCTATCTATCTATCTATCTATCTATCTATCTATCTATCTATCTATCTATCTATCTATCTATCTATCTATCTATCTATCTATCTATCTATCTATCTATCTATCTATCTATCTATCTATCTATCTATCTATCTATCTATCTATCTATCTATCTATCTATCTATCTATCTATCTATCTATCTATCTATCTATCTATCTATCTATCTATCTATCTATCTATCTATCTATCTATCTATCTATCTATCTATCTATCTATCTATCTATCTATCTATCTATCTTCTATCTATCTATCTATCTATCTATCTATCTATCTATCTATCTATCTATCTATCTATCTATCTATCTATCTATCTATCTATCTATCTATCTATCTATCTATCTATCTATCTATCTATCTATCTATCTATCTATCTATCTATCTATCTATCTATCTATCTATCTATCTATCTATCTATCTATCTATCTATCTATCTACTATCTATCTATCTATCTATCTATCTATCTATCTATCTATCTATCTATCTATCTATCTATCTATCTATCTATCTATCTATCTATCTATCTATCTATCTATCTATCTATCTATCTATCTATCTATCTATCTATCTATCTATCTATCTATCTATCTATCTATCTATCTATCTATCTATCTATCTATCTATCTATCTATCTATCTATCTATCTATCTATCTATCTATCTATCTATCTATCTATCTATCTATCTATCTATCTATCTATCTATCTATCTATCTATCTATCTATCTATCTATCTATCTATCTATCTATCTATCTATCTATCTATCTATCTATCTATCTATCTATCTATCTATCTATCTATCTATCTATCTATCTATCTATCTATCTATCTATCTATCTATCTATCTATCTATCTATCTATCTATCTATCTATCTATCTATCTATCTATCTATCTATCTATCTATCTATCTATCTATCTATCTATCTATCTATCTATCTATCTATCTATCTATCTATCTATCTATCTATCTATCTATCTATCTATCTATCTATCTATCTATCTATCTATTTCACCAATTCATCCCTCAGCTGTTCACCGAATCTTAACCAAACAGAAGTGCAAATAATTTTTTGTGATATTAATCACTCCAAACTAATTAATATTTAAGCTTGGACACTTTACGTTTGCCTCTTCTATTTAAATATCTATCATTTCGTATAATTCATGTAATTTAGAGCTCTACTACTTGGTTTCACTTCACGTTGAGGGAACACAAGTGAAGTTAGCAAATGTAATTAACTTGCTTGGACAAGTGCGCCCGGCGCACAAGTGGCAATGAAAAGTGAATCAGTTAGTCAACAGAAATAACGATTTATGAATAATCATGAAATTGATGAAGGATTAATGTTAGACTAAAGAAAGAAAGTGAAAGTAAAGAATGTATAATTTTGAACAAATATCTTTTATATAAAAATTTTTTAAACTTTAGAATTTAAGAATTTTCATCAAAAGATTCACAAAATATTTTCAAAATTAAGGGATCCTATAATTTCCAAATTTGTCTATTGAAAAAATAATGTCTGATAAAAAAAAAAAATAATATCCTATAATTTCCAAAAAAAAAATGTCTGATGGAAAAAATTGCTTGAAAAATTTATTATTTCCAATAATTTCAACAAAGATTTAAAATTTCTCGTCTTATTAAATTAAAATAACACGATCTTTTTGCGCTTTAGTATATTAATACTATAATGTTATGAGAATAATAATAATAATAATAATTTAATTCTTTCCAATGGTGCAACAAGACAAATAGCAAATGAAGGCGATTTGAAGATAAGTAAACAGTTGTTCTTATTGCTGGAACAAGAATTGGGGTGGATTGAAGTTTTTCAAATTTTATAAAGAAGAGAAAAAAAAAAATTTAAAATCGATTCCATTTCAACCAATCAACTAAAAAATTTAATAAATTTCGTTCCTGCGGAAATATTCAAATTTTGTCTATTCAGTAATTTAATCTGTTTCCATAATCCAAATGTACTAAAAAATTTTTGTTAATTTGTAATTATTTTTACAGTTGCATTTGGAAGACATATAGTAATAATTGATTTATTTGAATTTTTGTACAGATTAAAAGAAAAAGTCATATTAATCAAAAAAATTTATGGATAGGATTTTATGAAGTAAAACAAAACCACTTCTACTATAAGTTCAGATTATCTTCAACTTTTTACATTCTCTTGTTAAAGTCAAATTTACCCATTTTTTTTTTTAAATTAGTAAATTCATATTCTCTAAAAGTTAAACAAAATTTAATCTTATGTACTCAAAAAAAAATATTTCATAAAAAAGGCAGTTGAAAATATTGCTGGTTAGCTTCGTTCATTTTTTAAAATTGCAAAAAATTTTTGAAAAATCGAATTTAAAACGCACAAAACTGCTTCTGAAGAAAAGAATGAAGTTAAATTTCTAAAACTATTCATAAATGGAAAAGAAATGTAAGACGGATGGATTAAAATTTGAAGTCAGTAATTATTGTCCGCAATCAATACTAGCCAGAATAATAAACTAATTTAAACAAGTTGTTCTGAACAAACGAGGAATGATTTAAATGCAAGAGTGAACTGAATGAAAATGTTTAATGAACGGATCTGTTTAAGCAACTGCTTTTGAAATTAGTGCAGTCAGTCAAAAACATTAACAAGAATGATGATGATAGTGATGATGGCGATGACGATGATGATAGTGACGACGATGATGATGATGATAATGATGATGAAAGTGATAAGAACTGATAGGGATGGATGGTGTTTGATATCTTTTGTCTGGAAGAGTTCAAGCTTATTTCCTTCTTCTTACAAATTCTTAATTATGTTATTTCAAAATCTTTTCTCACAACATATAATAAGACTTCACATTTAATCATATCAAAACTGGTTATTATTTTGGCATCTGTTAAATTAATTTAATGAATCATTCAAATCATTTATTGATTGAAAATTGAGAATATTTTTCAATTTATTTGTTAATTTCTCTCACTTTGTCTGTGTATGCATGCATAAATTATTATCAGCCAAGTAATTGCTAATAAATTATTTACAAAAATAGTAAAATTGCTTGTATTACAAAAAAAGAAAAGAAAATGAAGAAAAAAGTTTTTTTCATATAGAAGAATGAATTAAAAATGAAATAATTATTTGAAAAAAGATATTTCAGCAATGTTTATCCATGTTAAGATAGCAATGATGACAAAGGATGAAAGCTATCTCAGTAACGACAATTATTACACAGTTTTCTTTACATTATGGTTATAATAGAGTCAAAGGTCAGAAAAAGATAAATTCTTGATAACTCTCAGTGGATCAGTTGATCAGCTCAACTAATAATGTTATTTGTGCATTGCTTTACATTCATATTCTATCTCATTTATTACTTTATTTATATCGAAATCATTAAAAAGTTCGAGATCTTTACGAAACATATCGCTCAAAGGATGCGCTCATAATTTGCGCTAATGTCTCGAGCGTGAAATTTTCATTGCTTAATTTAATTAGTCCCACAACAAATCTCTGTAATTTATGCTTAAAAAATTTACACTCACTTTATCTATTGCGACTAGCACAAAATACTAAATTAAATTGCAATGAACTGAAAATTCAATAAAATTTTACAGTTGCAAATCTCTGTGAAGCGTAATGATTCTATCCCTGAAATATTATTTGTATAGAAACAATTTGAAAAATATTTCAAAATCTATTTTCTCAGCAATGAAATATTTAATAAATTATAATTAATTTTTTTTTTTTTTTTTTTTTTTTTGTAGTACACAGACTTTCTGTTCATTAAAATAATATTTGGATTTTTAATATTATGCGATAGAATAATTTAGGCCGAAATTTGTTGCATACTTGCAGTTATAATAAATTTTACTACAATAAAATTGAATGATTGCGAGGTGGATATAATAGGCAGATGAAAATGGATTTGAGTGGCGACGAGAATTTTATTATTGATAGACTGACCTCAACCCGATTTTCAAATTGTCAATCCATCTCGGGAATGAGACTGCTCTTCCATTCCTGTCTTTCAGTCGGGAAACAATTGTTCTTTCTCGCCGTCCTATTGATCAGTGGGATATTTATGAATGCAATTAAGTATTACACAATTATGTTGTTGTTTCATTGATGATTGATTAATTTAACGTTGGAGAATGTCATTTATTCTTTTTACGATTTGTAATTATGATTTGAATTTTAACCTTAAATATTTGATCTGAAAAAAGTTACAATTTTATCATATCTAGAATTAAATTTGAATTGTGTCAATGATATGCATGCAACTATTGTTTTATAAGCTTAGTAATTAAAAAAAAAAAAAAAAAACACTTTATATTATCTTTACAAATTCAAAGCTTTGATTGCTTTTTTCGATAACATTTATGTTCATTGTTCCAAATTTTCTTTGGTTCACTAAACAAATGAGAAAAGCAACTCCGAAATAACAGAATTTTGAAATTTTGAATGTAAATAATTTATTATCTATTTGATAACTCTCTCAGTAATTAAATATCTTTCAATTGCTCATTGATAATTATGCACAAAAAAAGGGACAAAAATGGAAGAAACAAAAAAAAATTTTTTTTCGGACAAATTACTGAAGAAATGATTTTCCTTTCATTCATAAGAACCACATCTTTCCAGTTGCTCATTCTCTTCCCTTACTTTTACCTTTCCCTTCCCTTTTTCCTTTTCCCCCTCCTCCCCTCCTCTTCCCCCTCCTCCTTATAAATTTCATTTACTCACTCATTCATCGACGTCCCTATTATCTCTTTTTCCATTTCACTTTTAACAAATTTTTTAATTACTTTTGCAGACATTTCACATAACAACCACAAATTATTTGTTATTGTAGCGCAAGAGAAGTTATTTTGGGTGCTATTGTCGCGTTACTGCCATGACGAACTGCGCAAAAATAGTATCATTTCTTGCCATTCTATTTGCAAACTCAATAAGAACACAAAGATTTCGAAGTAAGAATTTTTTTTTGCACTTTGATTCAAAGTTAACTTTTATAATTTTACAAATTCTTAGACTATAAAAATAACATATTGATAATTTATGCTTTCAAATGACAAGCAGCTTAATGATAGCATCGGTGGGATAATATTATGACAATGAACAAACGAACATTGACAGACTTAAACAATTATTGAGTAATTCGAGAAAAAAATTAGGATTGAATTTCTAAGCTTGGCTGACATCTCTGTTGGCTATTTCACAGCCAACAAAATTTCAGGAATCTGTGAGGCACAAGAAACATGCATGAATTGTGGTGACGATCGCTTCTCATATTATAAATGCAACGCGTCACATGATTGCCTCGCTGATGAAATTTGTACCGGACAAGGTTTCTGCTGTCCTGCAACGGAACTGAGTAGGACAGTGTCATCTTTGTTCAGTGATAATTTTGGTATGTGTCCATTTGAAAGCACATATAAGTTTTTCCAGTTTTTCTGATTGAGGTATAATTAAGTTTTGTATTCTGAAATTTTAAATGGTTTGAAAATGAAGTTAAAACTGAACAACCTTTAATGGGAGGAAATGGAAAAGTCAAAAATAAATTCCGACCGGATCGTATTGAATCTGTGTTTTGAATATAAAGCATTACTTACAGAATTTATTGGTGTTCCGGCTTACAAATATGAATCGGAAAAGTCAGGAATGTGTCCAGATGGTAGTCCATGGAGTCGACAGTGCAGTAATGATTCAGATTGCACACTTACTAATGAAATTTGTGCAACTGGAAAATGTTGTTCAGGTTGCTACTGATTAGCCATGTTTCTGTTACCTGAGAACAATGCCAAGTTAAGTTTGTTGTTTAGAAAATCCGAAATTCTCTACGTTTTGCAGTAGTCTGTTCAGAGCGCTGATAAAGGAGACATTTCCTCTTCTTATAGTATGCTCACAACACCGCCGTCGAGTACTGAACGATTTGCCGACCAACAACGTTGTTGGTGTGCACATTCCGCAATGTGACCCTGCTGGAAAACACTATCGAGCGGTGCAGTGTCGTACCGGAACTGAGGAATGTTGGTGTGTTTCACGATTTGGCCGGATTATTGGGTCGCTAAAACCTAAAACGACAAACTTAAATGCAGCATGTGAAACGCTGCGACTAACAGTGAAGCGTATTATAGAGGAGAAACGTGAAACTGTTAACGTACGTCGAAAGCAAGGGAGTTTGACAAGTTCAAAAGAAAAAAGTCATTCGATTGATATAATAGTGAAAGGACAAAGTTCAGAGCTAAAGGAACAACTTCGTAGTATAAATGGCATAGTCAGTGATAAATGCTTATGGATGAAACCTGGACATTGTTCCGATCAACCGGTATCACTTACTGATGCGTCCAAACTTTGCCACTGTGACGATGACTGTCCAGCTTTACAGAAATGTTGTCCGGTTCTAACCAGTGGATTAGCTTGTTCCTCAAATATTACAGTTAATACTGGTAATGATATCTTTCTTTTTAACTTTGCATTTTTCAAAAAGAAATGTCATTTTTATTTACTTATTAATAATTTTTAAGTGGATTAAATAAACTTTTACACATAAAGTTTTAGCAAGAGTTTCTAATAGTGAAAAAGGAAAAAAAAAACAGAATGAAATCACTTATCAGTCATTATCATTTTACAGATAAATTCCCAGTAATATCACACTTCCCATTAACGAATTCAACAACAACAACAACAACAATATGTGCCAAGAATGAGCAATTTGTGGAATGTCTTGATGAGTGCAAGGCAACTTGCTTCACAAAAACAACAATTCCATGTTTTATTGAGCGATGCAAAAGTGGATGCCAGTGCAAATCAGGTTTCCGGTTTTTGTTTCTTCTTTATTCTTTAATCCGAACTATTTTTGTGAAAGAATGAAATTGTATGTCAACATGAGATATATATCATTTTGCCCTCCTTATCTGGAGCAATAATTTGATGAACATACAAGAGGGAATTTTAAACAATAGATAGCAATAACAAAATCAAAAGATCATTGATAATTAATGATTGTTGACTAAAGAAGGAAGGGTCATAGTTCAATTAAAATAGCTATGTAAGCCTCGAAAATAAAATAAACCAATCGAAATAATTATCCTTTTTAGGTTTCATTCGTCAAAAAAATGACCTTCATGCTCCATGCATTCCACAGGATGAATGTCCTCCTCAATCGATTATGGAAAGTAAAACACGTTGTGCTGATCCCTTACGTGAGTACGAAATTTGTGGCCCAGGATGCCCAATTTCTTGCTCTTCTCGAAGTGAGAAATGTAAAGTTGAAGGATGTGTGGAAGGATGTTTTTGTAAAATACCGTATATTCTTGAGAACGGTGCAGATCCAATTCATTCCAGGTGGGCTTCTCAGTTTCAAATTATAAATCACAATGATGAGGAAAGATGAAGAAACTTTTCAACGCCACTAACATTCAAATTAATCATCTTCGCTAATTTCTGTGACAGTTTGACTCGTAATCTTTGATTTATAACTTCAAACAAATAACAAGAAAAGGAGAAATTTATGAATGATTTCGATTGCATTAAAAATTTTTCATCTTTGTCATCCATACTGATTAGCTGATATTTCTAATGATTACATTATTTACAATTACTTTCCATCTAATTTGAAATCATTTCACTCAATTAGAGTCGAAGAAATGAAAATATCTTAAGTTCAGGTGCATTTTACCGGCATATTGTCCTCTGTTAGTGCGAGACTATTCTCCTCCACGGAATGCTACCGT